TTAGTGTGAGAAAAATTATTAAAATAGTCAGTAGTTCTAAAAAGAATGGATGATAGAATAAACAGCAGTCAGGCTGAGGATATTAGGGACAATCTTCACGACTTGTCCTGTGGTCGCTGTTATCACTTTTACATCCTCCAGACGGAGATGAATTCTGACGAACGAGACATGCAGGCCACTGACCAAAGCGCGTAGCACAGTCTCCGACTGCTTTCACCTAGATCACGGTTAATTAACGGGCTTGATAGGCAAGTATACACCAAAAGGAGGCGCACTCCTTAAGCCAAAGCAAATGAATGTTACACTTTCGTGACGTTCGCTAAAGAAGTAGTCAAAACGGGTTTTTAAGAGGGTAATATTTAAGACTTACAGTAGGTGGGCTAACTCATGGAATGTCAACCAAAATTCCGAAATGCGTTTTCGTTTCGAAAAGATTAATTAAGTAGGGTTGTAAAACTATAATATTTCAGTTACCTCAGGATGCCGGCTTTCGAATGAACTTCTTTCCGGCTGCATGCAAAAACTACACACTGTAAAAAATGACTACGTAAGTGGTATGAATTTTTCTCATTGGTTTTCGATGCCCCTAAAAGTCCAGTTATATTTCTTGAAAAGCATGCACAAAAATATCATTCTTTTACTCATTCGGTAGGTAATTACGTCCTCCTCCAATTTCCTACTCGAAGTAGGGACATAATTTGGTTTTAAAAAAGTTTCTTATTGTGGAACTTTTAAATACCGTGAAATGGTCGTTCATAAATCGTCATGTCTCTGCACTAACTAATGTGGCTTGTAAAGTTAATAATATGGATCAAACCCACTGTTTAATTTTATTAACCCTATATAGTCCCCTTTTATTACCATAGAGAAATGTGCGGTTTTCCATACCCGGAAAATATACAGCTTATAGTTTGGAAACCCTGAATCCAAATGTAATGGTAGAGTGGGTTCAAAATTACTCGGGAATTGGAAAAGTTCTTGAAAGCCGAATTATACCCTTCCTTCGAGGATAGGATTGGAAGAAGACGTAATTATCTACCAAATGAGCAAAAGAATGATATTTTTGTGCATGTTTTTCAAGAAATATAACTGGACTTTTAGGGGCATCGAAAACCAATGAGAAAAATTCATGCCACTTACGTAGTCATTTTTTACAGTGTGTAGTTTTTGCATGCAGTCGGAAAGAAGTTCATTCGAAAGCCGGCATCTTGAGGTAACTAAAATATTATAGTATTATGTTGCAGACTGACTAGTTTTACAAACCTACTTAATTTATCTTTTTGAAACGAAAATGCATTTCGGAATTTCGGTCGACATTTCACCAGTTAGCCTATCTACTGTACATGGGAATGACGTGTTCCGATGTATTGCAGAGTTATACGGGTGACTCTGCTTGGCCTTGAGGCCTACAGTTCGCGCACGCGATTGCATTGCAAATAGTGATCAAGACTTCGTAAGCTTTTAAGGGCTAGGACACGAGAGATTGAAATGGTGACTTCGAGCTTTTTCTAACCTTCGTCTCTCATGGTATAGTCTTATTTCACGCAGAAACGTCTACACACTCATCCAGTGGTTTTCCAAAGTAAGCAAACTGCGAATGGGTGACAGGAGTCAGGAACAGACGACAACATACTAGAATGAACTCGATAAGGATGTGGTAGCGGCGGTAGATTGAAGAGTTCTGTTCGGGGCCTATTTTTTTCGGTCAGCAAATCATAGTTTAGTCTTGTTCGCCACGAGAATGTAGTAGGCCGGTGTGCGCCTGTTCGCTGAAACTGCCGGATGGCAAGATACTAATACATTTTTGTCCTATGAGATGCTTACGATCCACTCGATAGAAATCCTGCAAACCTTATGCGATGTTAACATGGGCATGTTTATGTTTCTTTTCTCAGATTTTGATCAGGGTTAGGATTGTCTGAGAAAAGCCAGAGTATCCCAAGAGGAGTATCCCATTGATTTCAACTGTCTCTGCCGATATGATATTCACTGTCGTAGTCTCAGATCGGGCCACAACACTGTGATCAGTAATCACTGGATGCATACGAGCCTTAATTCGTTCAAGACCTTAGCAGACTGCAAAGGCCTTTGGCAACTCATTTACAAAGTGCCTCGCACGACATTTCGCCAACAGAAACAGTGGACCACCCAAAACCAACTGTGTTGCGGTGTTTAATTTTCACTCTAGAGGTCTGTGTTTCCGATCGGCGCGCCGTTGTTAAGTCTCTTTTCGTAATTCGTGAGGTCACCGTTAGTGAGACAAGGTTATGGTGAATTACTACCGAGGATGACCGATATACAAGGAGCAGGGACAACTTGGCGACATCCATTCAGGATACAGAGTGCAGAATGGAGGAAGAAGAGAATGGCCAGAGCCTTCCTTGATGTCAACGTTAACGAAAAATATTGCGCTGGTATACCTCCAAGCGGAGAAATGAGCGTCACCTTCAGGGCCTCAAGACGTCCAGATGTGGTCAGACGGATGAAGTTTCCAAATTGGAGGGTTCTGGCGAATACGCGTGGCTAATTGTTGCCCGTTCTACTTCGTCGAAAGACTGGCTATGTAAAACTTTTCTGCATGCCAAGAATGCCAAGGAACGTCTCAAGCGTCTTTTCAAGCCGGTTAGCATCGGCAACGCACGTGGGCCTGGGACAGGTACCCGACGCTGTTTGATAGAGCAAGTAATGTCAGGGTTCATTTACCGTACTTTGTGTAGATGTGACAAAGCAGCGATTGAGGTGGGAGGCAGATAATGGAAGATGAATCAACAGTCGGAAGCAATGATGCTAATTCACAACCCACCCGACGCGAACAATCCACCTCTTCAGGTCCAACGTGGCTGTATCCCTCGCTGGGACCGATAGCTGCTTGGGTCACGAGCTGAACGAGTCACGGTTGGCCGGCACAGGTCAGCCAATAACCTCAACAGGTCCCTTTCTTCGTAGAGCATAATTACATACACTTGAAGAGTACGTATGAACAGTACTCTGACCTTTCACTTACTGTGTGTGCGGCCGCATGGCAACCGAATTTTACGAGTACTTCAACCGCTCTGTCCAATTTCACCCTTAACACCGGAATGTAAAACTAACTAAATGCATATTCAAGCTAGCAAACCACCTCCCTCTTCATTTTGCAAGCTAAAACTGCCGTGGACCAAGTCGCTGGAATTCGATATCTGGGCATATTAATCTACTTTGACGATTTGACGTGAGTTTCCTTTATAACTAAATTTGTTCCGCCCTATAAGCGTAAACTATACATAAAAACTAGTAGTTATGGAGATCACCTAGGTAATCTGACCTCTGGAATGAGAGGAAAGATGTTCGAGATCTAGGATTATTTAGTCAAAGGGTATGCGAAGTTGCGGATCCGAACCCCAGGTGTTCCACACTTCGGGGCTGGGTATGACTGGCTGACGACGGCTAATAAGCCAGAAATGGCCATTCCTGTCTCCCTTGTCTTTGTCCGTAATAATATTCTAAAAGTGGATTCATTATCCGGGTAAACAACATAAAAGTGGGTATGGAAATTTAAATCAGTAAAGGATAAACTATTTGTGTCAGTCTTTCCAGACACCACCCAGCTCTCGTCAGGAAACCCATGGCCAGGTGTCATTGCTCTCTCCCTGACTTTTCGCTTCAAAACGCCATAATTATTCGTAACTGAGCCACTGGCTTTGAAGTTTCGAGCATACACATCAGGACGCCCCTGAAACCAGACTGCATCGCCTTGCAGTTAAGCCTTACTAAGGAATCTCGCCATCGTCATGACGGGGCGTGTATTATTGAAGCACTGCTGACTGCATAGTTTGAGCAACCGAATATCCCAGCAGCTGCTTTTGATCCCATAAGTGACTTTCTCATTCCAATCAATCCATCATACTTATGACAACACCTGCCTACTCCTTCCAAAATGTCCTCTCATAAACATCCACTCCTATCGATACTGATCACATTCTAAAGGAAATCACCCCAGCCAAATAACAAACCTTGGACACCGGGGTTTTCCCAAAAATTTGAATGAAAACGCTTTTTGACAGCGCACTATGGATCACTTCCTGCGACATTTAGCGCTTTCGCAGCTCATTTAAGAACTCTTTTTTGAGATTAATCATCGAAAGATAGGTGTCCTCTGTGCCTTTGCACTCCTTTAGCATCCGGCAGCCACTGTACGCGGACGAACTTCTCGAGGACCTTCGCTATACACTGCCAAAGGCTGGAGCAACCGTCTCCAATGTCTATTCAGACATTCGGATCATAAGCGGGGACTGGGAAGGTCGCTATGCCTGGATCTCAGTGAACTACCTAGCAAAGAAACTCGGCAATGTAAGTGCGGTCCACTTTCCCAAGCTGGCTTCACAGCCGCCAATATATTTTTTTCTTAACTTCGGCCACTACCAACGGGTGCACTTTTTATGGTTGGTAGCTGAGTGGTCGTTGCTCATGTTTGCTTCAGACTTCATTTTTTACAGGGATTCTGATCACTTCCTATCCCTTAGTACACCCATCTTAATCGAAGTGTTTCCTTTTTTTGTCCCTTTTATTTCCCCTTTGTACCTTTTCAGGCGGGCGTTAATCAGGTTTTCTATGGGGTGCCGGAAAAATGTCCCGGCTACCTATTGGCCAAAATCAATTCCAGTTAGAAGTTGTACGGAGACGCTCCCTGGCTTAACGTGGGACTCCAGATAGTCATACGGAAGAAACAGCTGTTCTCATATCTATCCCTCTCTAAGGGAAAGTAGCCCTCGGTACAGTTCTCAAAAGGTGTCGCGATGAAAGGAATCAGACAGGGCTTGGATACGAAGGAAGGGCCAGGTGACTCTCTCACGAATGAACAAGAAAGACCTCTTTAAACTCCATATTTTCATTCTGCCCACTTCCAGTGGTGATTTGGGGCATGATCATAGACGTCAGACGGAAGAACTCTTCTCCTCAGAAACCATCTTTCTCTCTTCTTACACATGCACACATATCCCCAAAGACTTTCCCAAAGATTATTGCATACTTTGGGGTTGGAGTCTAACATACGTAATCAGATATGATTTTTCAACTGTTCGGGCATCAAAAATCCGCTATCTACCTTTTGAATATCTAATAACCTTTGCCGATAAAAGTGCAGCTGTAGCAAATGAACTTAAAGGGAAACCGCAGAACAAGTCCAACCGCCAGGGTATAGTTCCACGTGCGGCGACGCGGTGGTTCTATGCCAGTCAGATGACATAGTTTGTGCCACCTGTAGGATGCGTGACATTTAAAAGACATCTCATTCATCTGACATATCAACCCAGCCGACAGTTCGACCGTCGATTCTGACGATGTTAACCGTGTGCTACACAGCTAGGTGTAGCAGGAACGGTGACTTGCACGTGAATTAGTTTATTGTTATAGAAGACTTGCGAAGCATCTACAGCATTATCTCTTCTACACCCCCCACCTAGACTCGGTGTCAAGGCAGGGTCAAGAAGACCGGAGGCGGGGAGGCGATGCAGGTGGCTGGCACGGCTGGGGCCGCACCTAGGCGTGCCACCATATGCCCTGGTCCACAACATACACTTGATTAGCATTTTTCACCAACAACAGCAACAACACACCAACAGGGGGTCAGAAAGACGAGGATGATGACTAGGCAGCCATGCCGACCACTTGTATACCTAGCGGGAGCGCAAGCGCATCTACCGGCAGGGGACCAGGTGCCAGGGAGCTGCCAGCGCATTTCAGACTGCGAAGGCCATGGTTTGATGCTACCGGCGAAGCCCACGCTTTCAGACCTTTTGACATCAACCTAACACCAGCTTACCTGAAGCATGAAGGACTTATCGATCCAATGACAGAGTCTAGTTCAGCGGAGCTGAGTTCGGACCTCAGTAGCTACTTAGTTCCGCTTGCCCGCTGGTGAGGGAACCGAACGATCGTTCTATATGTCTGCTAAATAAGTTCTTTGACAGAGAAATCATATAACCTGTTCGGTGAGGTTTGGAAAGGTGGTCCTGTGGGGCCAAAAAATTATCACTTGCTTACTAATATTAATTGCAGCAGGTGGCCAACACTTCCCTCACTGGTGAAGGTGACACGATCGTTCCTTCTTCACGACCGCTTCCCGGGATTCTTCTCTTTGCTTCTATTGACTTGCATCACTTTCGCATTATTACTGACTTCAGTAGGCATAGGACTGTTTGCGCATACTCTCAGTTTGAAGTGCTTCGCTGATTGATGCGATTACGATTCAGAATTACGTTAGGGTGCGGGTTGGGGTTAGGGTTAGGGCCCAGGATTAGAGTTAGGGTTAGGTCTTAGGGTTAAGGCTTATGGTTAGGGCCTAAGGTCAGGGTTAGGTTTTAGGATTAGGATTTTGTTTAGGGTTATGGTTGGGGATTGAGTCAGTTGGCAACTACTTCCTACACCTCTAATTCACGACCAGGATCTGATTAGTCACATTGTTGGGCGGTTCAGTTTCGATGGTCATG